GTCAAGTAGATTTGGTATCCAGTTGCACTTTGCAAAAAATCCTAAAACATTCACTGACAGTTGCAAAAAACCAGGCAATGGTTCGCACAGCCCGAAAGTTCGTTACGATCCGGCTGAACATGTATGGGTCAGTTTCAGCCAAGTCAGGCCACAACAACTACACGCAACCGCGTCAACAACAAGGAAATCACCATCGTGCGTGGGCGTGTTTACCAGCAGAAGCACTGCCGAAACCAAGAGCAGTTTAAGTCAAACAATGAGGAGGAGTTCCGCCGCCCACCAAAGTACAGCAGTTGGTGCCACATGTGAATGGATCCGCACAGAAACTGCAAAAACCACTTGTCATTTCAAGTGCCAGCTGCAACGAGACCACTGAGTGGCTGGAACCAAACTGGTGCCCCAAGAGAACGAAGCCCCTGTGAAGTTTCTGCTGAATCAAGCTGAGGGTTGTTACTCGTACTTCAAGAGACAGGGTGGGTACAATAATGTCAGTCAATAACAAATAACAGGTCCCGGAAGATCAAGGGTAGCACCTCAGCGGAATACCGTTGGAGTGCTTGTTACTCTTGCACGCCGCTCACGGGCGTTGCACAGCCAAGTTGATGGCTTCGTGCAAATGTTGTAGATAGTTTCTGCGCTTTAGGAAATAGTTTCCACAACTTGTGGAAAACCTTCTGCAAAGTAGGCTATAGTATTTAGCACTTTATCAAATAGGCTAGAGTCATTTTAGCAAATAGTTGCTGGCATTTAGTAATAAATAGTTTCTGGCATTTAGTACATAGTTTCTGGCATTTAGTAAATAGTGTATGGCATTTAGTAAATAGTTTCTAGAATTTAGTAAATAGCTGGCCTCCACAAACAGAGAGGCCAAAGCAGCCCCCCAAGTCTTGTGTGTTATTTTGTTGCAGGCGTGCAAACCAGTTGTGCGACTTACCACTTTGTGTTGGATAGAATATGCTTGGGTAATGAAGCTTAACAAGAACCAATTGGAACAAAGGGGAAGCAGTGCAACATCAGAAACACGACCTGATGAAGCACATCCTTTGCTTTGCCTCTTGAAGCTTCAGCTTCCACTCGGTCCAGCATCGATTCCCGGCGCCACGCGTCGCCCGGCGCCACGTGGGATGCTTCGGTGGGGAAACCAGAGAAGGACTCCTTCTCTTTGTGCATCCATCGCACACTGCTGGGGTTGGTGATCATTCACCATAGATGCACCATACATGGTGTCCCACATGCACCCTATATACCCAAAGGTGGTTCCAACAGTGGCCATTCAAATGGACTTTGGAGCAGCTCACCAAAATACGTGTTGGCACGTCCGCATGGTTGCAGGTGCTGTTTCCGTCTTCGACTGCGCTTTCCGGAGGAGTTGGTTCGTGAAGACTCGCGAACAGTGGACCAACGCGCAGTGGACCAGTGCAAGTTGAAGAGCAAAGCACCATGAAGGCCGGCTGAAGGACCACGACCTTCTGTTCTTCCAAGGTGTTCCATGGTGCTGTTCTTCCAGGTGGTGCTCTGTGCTGAACATCTTCCATGGCGCCGAACAGAAGGTCTTCCGTGGTGGGGAGCAAGACCTTCTGTGCTTCCAGCTGCAATGATTGTAGCTAGAAGTTACTACCTAAACTTGGGCATTTACTACTATAGTAGCTAGAAGCTGCTAGTAACGGATGCTGAATGATTGCTGCGCCTCAGCGCTGTGCTCCGCTGTGCTCGTCCCGTCCCGTCCCGACCGCGGAGACGGAGTACGGCGCCGGGCGAGGTGGACGCGTCGACGGTTGGAGACGGGGATGAGACGTGGGGGGATCAGAAAACCCTCGTGGGGATCAGGCACGTGGGACCAACCGCGTGGAGAACACTTCAACTGCGTGGCGCCAGTACTGAAGCCGTGGGACCAAGCGCGGCTTCACAAACTGAGATGTCATCTGGTGCCACTGAAGGAACTCTGACGCAAGACACACAAATTCTGGCGCGCCCGATCTCTCACACTGCTTCGCGACACGCAGCGAACCGAGTCAAGACAGTGGCTGAGACCCGAGTCAACGGTGCAGGTGGCACCTAATGTTGACCTGAAGCATCCTGAAGCAGTTGTTTGTTCACTTGCATATTAGTTGGAGGGAGGGTACCTCTTCACTGATTTCTAGTTCTAGAGGTCCAGCCGCTTCACTCAGCCTTTCGCTGCTCAGATGAATGCCAAAAGGGATGTCCGAAACGACGCCAATTCCCGGAAACCATCAGGATCTTCGCAACAAACGCATGGCCTGACATCATCTTCAACGTGGCTTGAGGTAAAAACCAAATGCAACACCCTAAGAACCACAAAATGTTGACATGCCAAAAAACACATTCTGCTCATTCCTGGGACCTCAATTTGTTGTAAGAATACCTTTTGTGTTGGGTTCTGCGGCGAGCGCCAGGACCGTGGCGACCGTGTTGCGGACTCGCGCCAACTGGGCCAAGACTGAGCGCAGGACTCCACGTTCGTGGAGCCTCGTTGTTTGCTTCTCTTTTGGGTGTTCAGAAGATCCATGACAGCGAAGGACAACACTTGACAGCTATGAATGTTGGTGTCTTGTGATTGAAACCGCTCGGTGTCGTTCTCCATGAAACCGGAACGAAGATGGAACGCACGTCGGCAGCGACGACAGCGACGGCGAACGCGCACGCGCACGCGTGACGGCAGGCGATCGGTGGAGACGCGCACGACCAGGTCGGTGGAGAAGCGCGTCTGGTGTTATGATGGCGGGAGCACGACGCAGAGCACGACTGGGATCGTCGTTGAACACTAGAAATGGCTCGAATGGCTCTCTTCGACCAGTTGGGACAATGTGACAATCTTGATTTTTAATGCACTTTATCGGTGAAATTGGATGACAAAGTGCGAACACATAATCATGGTGAAACTTAAATGTTATTTAATGAACGGATATGATCCCATTACTTCACGTAGGCTCTCAACCGCACCGTGGCCGGTGGTTGACGCATTGATGTCTGACCGGCCGTCGCACGAGATCGCCCAGTCGACCGGAGACGGAGAGGTTGAGACCAGACCGCCGCGGCCGGGGGTTGACGAAAGGAATCCGCCGCGGCGGCCGCGGCCGCAGGAGTTGATTGGGCCGGACTGGTGGAGGGACTGGTAGAGGGGGTTGGTGGAGGGGGTTGGTGGCGTATGGCTAAGCTGCTGAGCTTCATCCACCTGGAGGCCATACACCACTCCGGGCTCCTCGCGGCGGTTCGACGCACGTACAGAAGGGTGGACGTTTGCAGACGTCACGACGCATGCGGCGTTCCATTCGCATTGTCCGTGGCTTCTACAGCAAGCACATCAGGACAAGACGGCCTGGAGTTTGCAAGAACTGTTTGAGAGTTGGCCAAAACGGCGTTCAGCACCGAGCACCTGCACTGCTTTTTCTTTCGGCAGCAGAACGTCAGTTGTTGGGCACCTTTGGCCGAGTTCGTCCGCCCGCCGGTGGTTCGGAGGCTCGCCCGGCTCGCCCTTGAGGCGGCTGGAGTCTCCACCCGCGGTCGACACACTGAAAAAAGCTGCGGTCGCTCTACCGAAAATGTGGCCAGAGTTACCTGGAGGGACAGCGAAACACTGGTGACGAGTCTCTATAGAAAATACACTTTTTTATCATGTGAAAGCAGAAAACCACCGGTTTGTACAGGAAAAGTGTCATCCAAGGATTCCAAGGAACCAGGGAGTCTATATATTCCAGAGAGCCTATATAATATATGGGATTGGAGAGGCATGTGTTTGAAAAAGTCTGTCCTCCTCTTTCTCACCACTGAGCCAAAAAGACTTGGTAGTTCTTTGTGACCAAACATTGGGTTTAGAACTATACTTCCCCACGATCACCCAGAAAAACAGAACAAAGTCCAAGTAGGTCATAATATGACAGCAAAAATGGTCCTTGTTGGTTGCGAACACTCAGCTCAAAGGGACCCTATTATGGACAAAACCCTCCTGGAAAGGACGGACCCCTGGTGTTGGTCTTCGGATCGACATTGAATATCTTAGCTTCCCGGTGGTCCATCCGCGGGGCCCAGGTGTACCTACAGTACTACCGTAGTCGGTCCATACGGAAGCAAGTGGGAGGTCCGACTATCGAATTCTGCGTGGTACTTGCCTCCCTGATGTTGAGGACCCGTTGGAGCATTCATGGACTCGGTAGCTTCAACTCTGCGGTCTTCGAACACCCCTTGGCTCAAGCCCTTAAAAGCCTTTTACTGCATTATTTGGGCAAAGAAAACACCTCCCAACAGTTCCAAAGATCCGTTACTAGTTGAATTAGCCAACATATCCGCTATAGCATCGGTTAGCTATTCGTCAATTTCTTGTGTTTCTCTCCGACAAGCCTGGCCAGTGGATACCAATGATCCGTGGATTCCTACGAAAGATCTGGAAAAAAGAACACCGACCAGCCAAGGTCTGGAGGGCTGCTGGTAGAGACACCGCTGAGATTATCAACTGGATGCTCCTTGGTCAACATCTTAAGGAATCATTTGATTGTGGGATTCACAGAGGTGAACCAAGAACTTGAAATGAAGTACCTTACTTATATATACAGTACATGCTCCATAGACATCTATAGACTATATAGATCTGCGCACGCTGCTCAATTGTCAAACGCAATTGGACGCATCACGACACAATCAACATGCTCAACAAGCTCTTGTCCGAAAAATACAAGCTGGGGAGGCCCTAGATCACATCTAGTTTTCAAACACATGAAGCTGAGACTGAAGAACAAGCCTATACCTTACACTGGCTATACCTGGTGAGTGAACAACCTGGACTTACTGATTCACTCACACCCCTTTGGCTCATCGGTCAGTCAACCAGATCGGCCCCGAGCCGGCCGTGGCATCGGCTGTGCCGTGGCTCGGCCGTGCCGTCAGGCCCGTCGTGCGGCCCGGCGTGGCATGGGTGGGCTCATTGAGGCAGATGGGAAACAAAAATGAGTAGTATAGCAACGAATAGTTACCGGATTCCAACCATCATTGAACCAAAAGGGCAAACCAAAACCGGACAAACATCTCCTTCTTCGCATGTTGAAACAACCAAACCGGGTCAACGGGAACTCTTTCGTCTTCGGTCGGCGAGGCGGATTCCATCTCACCGCACGACACTGTGGCGACCACCCGACATGGCCTGGAGCGGAGCAACGTGGGAGCGAAACGGGAGCGGGAAAGACCGGTTTGGGCCGTTGAAGCAGGGATGTTGGAAGCACTTGAGCCGTTCATGCTTGTATTGCCATTGCAGTTGAAACGTGATGTTAAATGGTTTTTACATGGCATTGAAATGGGATTGACATACTAATCTGAATGACATGGACATGGTACATGGTCATTGATGCATTGATGGACCTTAAACATATTACTGTATGATAAGTATGATAGCTGTTCATGACTTTGGGATAGCCGTTGGTACTCCACCAAGAGTCCCGTGTGATATAATTTTAAAGGCATCTATTTAAGAGTCATTGATTCTTCCAAAATACTAGGTTCATCCTGGTTCTGAGGAATCATCAATAGGATGCATTAGCTTCGTCATCCCCCGGGATACCTTGGTTCTAACACTCAAACAGCGAAAGCACTCCACTCAGCGAATGGTCTGACCATTTCGTTCCGGCAGCTCGAAGTTCATCGGGTCTGAAAAAGAAAGACCCGCTGTTTGGCCAAAAACGCCGGAAAACAGCGGGTCCTTGGATACACCAATTTATATATACACCGGTTTTCTTGAGGGGATCTGAAATCAGCTCTGAAGGTCTAAGGTCGGTTTCTTCACTCAAACAGGAAACGGTGGAAGACACTCCTTTGCACAACAACCCTTGGTGTTATGTTCTTGGGAGCTGGAACTTTTTCTGCGGAAAGTCCTTCTGGACTGATGCAAAGACATCAGAATGGTAGTTCACTCAATCCTGCAACAAATGCCCATCACAACTCTATTGTACTCTGTCTAATACATGTTCGTTCTATCTTCACAAACACTCAGGTATCACCCGGAAACCGTCCTGCCAACCAACCACTGAATAATCTGAGACCTTCAGACCCTGCAGCTCTGATCTTCGATCTTCCAACTTGGATTGGTTTGTTTCGGAAGCCCCGACCAAAAAAAAAGCAAACACTCTCCAGGTTTTGGTTTTGGGGAGTCAACCAGTTCCTGAAAATGCTATCAACTAAACCCTCCACCCTCGGGGCCTTCCGCTGGTCATCGCGCGAGCCGTGACTGCGCTCCGGCAGGGCGGCAATGCCCATGACCCAAACGCCTGGCGAGAACGTCCAGCGTCCCGGCCGCGGCGGCGATAACGTTTTTCGGTCGAGATCCGTCGATGTTTTTTTTCGACTCACTCAGTTCAGTAGTGTCGAAACATCCCAGTGTGAAGTGACGAAATCCCGAATGTGTTGGCACTTGTGGGTCAAAAGAAATCATGAACTTGTTGAAGCTTTGATAGACGTACAGTACGGCATGCTGTTGCAAATGGAATAAGCACAAGGAAATACAAGGAACAATTAAAGCGTGTACAGATGTGTACAGTAGCAAAACTATTCCAACAAACTGGAGATGTTTGTTGCTGGGAACATCCCGCACCTCTTTGCCGAACTTGTGATTGAAACTTGATTGTCCCCTACTGACCTCTTTCCTGCGATTGTACAGTCCTCGTTGTGTGGGTTTTCTCCATGTTTCCAAGGTGAGAAGGACATCCTCCTTGTGCCAGCCAGTAGACCTAGCGAGTCTTCAGTGGACCTGCAAAGTGTGTCTTGAGCTGGTGAGCCTTCTTCTTGGTTCGCTGAAACAACCCACTTTCAATGATTGAACCGCTTCCCCAAAAGCTTGTGCTGGAAATACATAGTTGCATAAACATCATCTGATTGTGTCTCATACTATTGCGAACACCCATGCTGAAACCAACTGACCCTTCATCAAACCTGTGGGTGTGGAAGATTCTGTGTCCGACCATTTTCTTCTTCTACGTGAACCGGGAATTCAAAGCTTCCATCATTTCCGAGAGCACCCACCTCAGATGTGTTCGATCCCTTCCAATCCACACCACCGCGCCGAAAAGCGCCGCACCTGCGGTGATTTCGGCCACTTCCACCGTCTGCAAGCATGCTCCATCCTGGGAAGTTCTCTGAACCCTGCAGGATTGCTGCTAAGAGGTCCCTTCATCACTACGAGGCTTCTTCAGATGAATTATGCAACAAGAAAACTCGTTAAACTTATTAAACAATCCAACAAGCAGGACTCTTGAGGGGTGGGTCAAACCCATCCGTCGCTCGGTCTTCGGGAGGTTTTTGGGCACAAGCTTGGTGAGGCTGAGTGTCCACCACGGACCGAATGGAAGAGGTCCAACGGAACGTTCATTGGAACGTGGTCAACTAGGAACAAGAAGCTATTATTAGGGGCTCCTGGCATCGCTACTAGGAGCAAGGACTTGAGAAAAATCAGATTCCAAGTTCAATCTATACCTAACACATAACTCTTCAGCCTCTCATGCCACAGCATTCAAAAACGCTTTCTGAAAGCACACGTCAACTGATGTCCTGAAGCCGCCAGTACATGAGCTTTCCATCCCTCCCACCACTGATGAAATGGCCTGGGACATCGACGGGTTTGGTTGAGAAGTGTACACATGGCATAAAGCCGGTACCCGCTGGAGCATCTTCCTCTGCCGGACCATGTTCCATGTCTATGTGTACATAAGTTTACCGTAAATAAAGGGCAAGGGGTATACTGACTCTACTTGCTTACTTGTCAGCTAATCAGGAAGCAGCTCAGCTGCACCAAACATATTGTTTTGCTTCTTTATTGAAGGATCCAGTTCAAAGAACTCTATCTACTCTTCATCCCGCACCACTAATTCAGTGTAATTACGCAAGCCACTACAATCGGCCATGATCCACAGCACATCTAAGGGCCATGTCCTGCCTTGGAATGAACGGATTGGCATTTCTATCTTTGTTCTTCAAATTCCAACCTCCAACACCTAAGCTGTTCACGCCTGAGAAATCAAGACCCGAAGTTCAACACATGCTGCAGATATGGTCATGATCGAAATTCCCTGGACTCTACCCCCCCAACAACCCAACAACATCATTCCAACTCCTCAGAAAAATGGAATGCAACTCAAACCCTCACATGTGTTCCTGCTGTGACCAGCCCCGGCTGTTGTGAGGTATCCTGTATCAGCCTGAAACTGCAGTGAACCAGCCTTACATGGGGTGATGGACGTCTCATCTCCAAAAAGAACTGCAGTATACCTCGATTTCTGGGATGAACCGAGGCCAGTGGCTCGCCCAACATCTGCAAGGATGGCCTGCCTCTTTTGAACCGGGTGTTCAGTTCCAAGTGTTTGGAATGCTGCAGTAGTGTGATCTCTTGTAGTTCTTGTATCTTTGTTCCATAAATGTGGATGGATGAAGTATATTACTGCAGCAACAGCTAGACCAATAGTTTTTAACCTGGATCTTTGTTGCACCACCTTCTCCATCCCGCTCGATTTAAAGGGGATTCCACCGCGGATTCACCCATAAAAATTGCCAAACACGGCCAACTACCTCCCCCCCTCCACCAACTCGTGGGCCTGCATGCACTTGTGAGAGGCAATTGACTCCTTCCTGTGCTGCGACGGCACAATGACCCCATGTCCGGCGGTTTTTCCTTCCTTCCTCATTCTCCCAGCCTCGGACCCTCGACTTGGGTCGGGGGTGGGAAGCAAATGACCCGTCGGCTACGCCTTCGACCAGGTACCCGGGCTCGAACCAGGGTGGAGCCCCCCTTGGAGACCATTTGGGCGACAAACAGCACAGCCACTGTCATGGTATATCGTGTTTTGATATGTTGTTAGTGTTGTTATATGTTGTTGGAGTTATTAAAGCACCTGCTGCAGAAGCAGTATGTGCTGCACAAGCACCGCCTTAATTATTCCAGCAACCTTAGTTCAACAGGTTTCATTCAAAAAAATACATTTTTGAGTGTGGGAGCTGAAACCAAAATGCAAACTAAGTTGAAGACCCACAGTTGGCTGCTGTCCTGCAAATTTTCTAAAAACGCAATATGTTGATATTAAGTATATGTTTCATGGTGGCAAGGGGGCAAGTAGTTAGTGGTGCCAAACTTGGAGATAAGTTCGCCTGGGCCCAGTACAGGACTGCAGCACACTTTATACTCAGTTGGTGCTGTGATAAGCGTGTCAACTTGTTATGCGCACGTTCTGTGCTTTTTTAGTTATTGAACTGCAGGTTTTTGCTCGAAAGAAGCGATCCCAATCAATCAACACATTGAGAGATCAAAGATAGATAAACACAAAACACCCCAGTGATTTGGTTAAGTGTTTAATGTTTCAATGGCATTCTACTGGCTTCTGGTAAAGCACATGAATGAACAAAAACACTTTCCAGCAAAGCTTGAATGATGATATTACATGACACAAACTTGCCACCCACTGCACTTCATCGCAGCCTGACCTCCATGACTCGCCATGGGTGTATGGCCACCACCCATCACCACCACCTATCTACTTAGAGTTGAGTGAGCAGTACAGCCTCAATGGGCAGCAAATGAAGAAAAAGAAGAACAAAGACGGAACGAACAAAAGGACACCATCGGACCTTCGGAGAGCTCCTTCACAAACATAGTATTGTATTTTGAGTTTGTGCGTGTTTATAAGAATGTTGTCATTAGTGTGGTCATTTTTGTGGCTTTCCAAAATCTTGTTCATGAGCAGGCCCAACCATTTTGTTGATCAGCATGTGGCCACGTCAACCTTGACAGCTATTTGAAAAAGGACCTGGTGTTCAGGTTTCAGCAAGCCATTGTCCTGTTAGGCATGTGTGCTACAGTTTGTGTAGTGTACATGTACCCCTTTCTCACTCAGAAACTGTTTATGTTCTGGCCCCGGTAGCCGGGACCAAGACATACCCAAAATGGAGGGACAATGTGTGGTGTGTGTTTGCACTCACTTCTTGTTAGTCAACTTATAGTTTTGTGTTCCACAAAAGCTGTTGAGATGCTTTGCCAAATCACATGCTTCTCCCCTTCAGGTTGTTTGGGAAATATAGTTCGTCTAATCATTTAAAGCCCCAACAACCTGTCACCAAGGATGACATCCACGTGGTGGCCAAAATGATCACCGGATCCTATGACCACAGGTTCATGAGAGAGGCCTATGAGATGTCGCAGGACACTGGAAGTCAAACAAGAGCTTGGAGGCTAAGTATTTTAAACAAACATGATCTAGAAACTTCGGAGGTTTTGCATTCTGTTTTCACGCGCGTTAAAATTCGCGCTCGCCCCAGGAAGACATCAATGTTGACCTCCTGGGAACCGATGAGCAACTGGACACGAATCGGCCTGGCCTTCTGCCAGATTTGGAAGAGACAAGTTGCGTTGGAAAAAACAGGATGTTAATAATCTTTACTGTAGCAACTAACCATTTGTTTTTGTTCTTCTATGTAGTTGTAAGCAAGAATTGTGATGGTATAGCAAATGGTCTGGGTCTGGAACTGGCGTTTGTAATAGACTTTGTTTGCGGACACATTGTCTGTTTCCTTCAGGAAGGGATACGCTGAGCAGCAGCATGATGAGCCTCATCATGAGCTGGCCCAGCTGTTTGCAGGAATGCACATGAATTGCGGTGATCGCGTTTTGCTGATCAGCTATTTGTGGAAGACTGGCAGCAAGCCATTGCCCTAAAAGGCATGTGTCTTACAGTTTGTGTAGTATACTTTCTCACACAGAAACTGTTTTTGTCCTGGTCCCAGTAACCAGGACCAAGACTTTCTCAAAATGGAGGGACAATGTGTGGTGTGTGTTTGCACTCATTTCTTGTTAAACAACTTAAGGTTTGTATTCCACAAAAAAATGTTGAGATGCTTTGCCAAAGAACATGCTTCTTTCCTTCAGGTTGATGATGCTGTCATGAACACTGCAAGTGTGCCTGAAGAGATCTCAAAAGAGGACCTTGCTGAACAAAATTCCGAAACATGTAGTATGAGATGTTGCTGTTTTTCTAGTTTCCCAGAAACTAAAACCACAGTGCACCTAGACCAATGTCAGCTTATGTTGTAAAATGCTTGCAACACCCAAGAACACATTGCTTTGTTCAGGATCCAACTGGTCCACAAGAATCTTCTTCCTTCATGGTGGCAGCTGCAGAGGCTTGACAGAATGCACATGAGTTGCGGTGATCAAGTTTCGTTGATAGGCATGTTGGTCCCCAGACAATGTGTGGTGTGTGTGTGGTTGGACTCATTTCTTGCTGAACAATTTATGCAAATGTTTTCAGCAAAAACTGTTGATAAGCTTTGCCAAATAACACGCTGTTCCCCTTCAGGCCCAGGCTGAGCGATCTACGGAGGTCTCAAATGAGGAGGCTGACATGAGTGCTGCGTGGTGTGTGAAGAGATCTCAGATGAGGACCCCTGCTGAACAAAACCAACACTATTCTATGTTGCTGTCTGCTTTCCACAGACCGGCATCTCCCAACGGCCAAACAGGTCCAAAACGCGTCGCCAGCACAACGACATCGGTGACCCCCATCCAAGCGATGGCCTCCAACCTGCTAGCGATGGCCTCCACTCTAGTGTAGCGCCGGCCTCAAACCTCCTAGCCATGGCCTCCACCCTAATTACCCTAATTAAGAGACAAGAGTTCCAACAAGCTTGCTTCGTCGAACTTTTTGAGAGTCGACTTCAACCGTTGTAGCTTCTTCTGCTTCACCTTCAAGACCTGGCTAGCCAACTTCTTTGCCTTGGAGAGCTCCCTTCGCTTTTTGTTCAAGTCAGCTGTCTGCGCCAACAGCTCATTGGCACAGCCCCTGGCGCTGCATCCTCAGACGCAACAGCGGCGCCCACACTTGCAACCACCGCTTGCGACATAGCAGCAAGCAAGGCAAGGAGTCTGAGTACACAAGTTCGAGCCAAGCTTGGAAATTGAAACAGATTGGCAATGAAAAGTGAGTATGGACATAGGACCTTCATTGGCACCATGCCTGCTAATTGAAACATGGACCCATGTGCCACTCCTCAGTACAGAAAGCACTGGCAAACAAGTGGTACATCGGACTACTCGGCTTGTGGAGCCAGGATGTTGCACGTATGCTGGGTTGCCATGGGTGGTGTTGAAGTTCACGGCAAAAATCCATCATCTCCTCATTTCGTTTCTGGAGAAGCTGCAATACTTGATTAATCTGAAAATATCTGATGAAAACGATTGTAAACCCCTGATCAAAACACGATGTTGGAAGCAAAAACCACAACATCTCAATGTTCACCCAGACCTCTGGCAGCGCACCCAAAGCTTTTTTGCGCTCCTCGGCTACCCAAGCTGCAAAAGCTCGCACGCCGCTCTCTAGCAGCGCTGCGAACAAAGAAAAGAACACGAAGGTCCCTGGGAGCCACACGAAGAGACAAGAGTTCCAACAAGCTTGCTTCTTCGAACTTTTTGAGAGTCAACTTCAACCGTTGTAGCTTCTTCTGCTTCACCTTCAAGACCTGGCTAGCCAACTTCTTTGCCTTGGAGAGCTCCCTTCGCTTTTTCTTCAAGTCAGCTATCTGCGCCAACAAGTCTTTTGACGTAGAGCGTTTGAGCCTCTCATTGGCACAGCCCCTGGCGCTGCATCCTCAGACGCGGCAGCGGCGCCCACGCTTGCAACCACCGCTTGTGACATAGCAAGCAAGGGAAGGAGTCTGAGTACACGAGTTCGAGCCAAGCTTGGAACATGACACAGATTGGCAATGAAAAGTGAGTGTGGACATAGGACCTTCATTGGCACCACGCCTGCTAATTGAAACATGGACCCATGTGCCACTGCCTCCTCAGTAGAGCCACAATGCACCCTATTTAGTACATGTGAACTTTAAGTGTTTTCAGTGTTGTATGATGCTTTCAATGACCGAAATTGTTTTTTTCGTTGTGCTGATAGGGGCTAGCTGGCGTATTTTCCTTGTGTTGGCACCACCTTTCATGCAAATCTTTTGAGCATATGGTCAGTCATTGTTGAATTGTCCAGAAAGGTCTAAACTGTTCATGTCCTGGTTTGTATTCGTTTGCTGTTGAGTGATAACTTATTGTTTTGCTCAGCAAAAAACGATTGATAGCCTGAGACAGCAGGCGCAGACCTCTGATGCTGCCATGCGTGATGAGCACCCTGAAGAGATCTTTGATGCGGACCCTGATGATCAAAATTCAAAACATAAGTTGTTGTACATTGCTGTTTGCTTTTTGGGAGCTAAAACCACAACGCACCCTTGACCTAGAGCAGAGCACATAGTTTTTCCGGAAGCAGATGGCTTGCATGCGTCTACTTCATCCATTCTGGCAGCTGTGGAGTATACATGGGTGGTCACCAAGGGGCTAGCTAGCATATTGTCCTTTTGTTGGCACCACCTTCATATGCAAACCTGTTGCGGATATGGTCAGTCATTGCTGTTTGATTTGTCTAGTATTTGTAACGTCTAAACGGTTTATGTCCTGGTACCGGGACTGGGGCAGGGGTTTGCATTCGTTTCTGGTTGAATGACAATGATTGGGAGCCTGAGCCAACAGGAGGAGAGTGCTGATGACACTGCCATGGAGCACCTTGAAGAGATCTCTCAAAACTCTGCTGATAAAAAAGAACATTTTATAGGACCGGATGACCCCACATGTGAACAACTTTGTGGGAGGAGAAGCAGGAGGGAGAAAGGGGGAGCGGTGGTTGGTTGGGGGTTGTCGTTTGGAAGTGGATGGGGACGGCGATGGTCGTGTGGCGGTTGTCTTACGGGTGGTCGCGTGTCCGCGTGCGTGTGTAAATCGGTGGGTGTCGGGAGGAGGGAAAGGAAGGGAGTGGTGGTTGGTCCGCGTGCGCAGGTAAAAAGGTGGGTGTATGTGAATGTGGAAGGATTGCGGATGTACACGTCGAGGAGAGCAATGCGCCGAGCTTGAAGTCGCGTCTTGTGGTGTCCTGGGCAAGAGCAGTGCGCAAGAGGCTCAAAGTAAAACCGTTGCACGACGTCAGTCCTGTGATGAGGACTGTTGACCACGTCGATGACAGTACCTGCGAGAGAGCAAGGTGATGAACAGCAACAGACTGGTCGGTGCGGAAGACGATCAAATTCCAAGCCGCTGGCTATAGAGTCCTGGCAAGTCGCTCCCAGCGCCAGCGCCAGGGCGTACATCCGAGCCCTGCAGAACACCAAAGTACAACAGACCCAGCAGCCCCTGCCAGCGCCACACCGCACAGCGGCGGAGACCCAGCAGCCCCAGCCAGTGCCAGCCAGCGCCAGGGCGTACATCCGACCCCCCTGGAGAACACCAAAGTACTGCGCCTGCCACGCAAATCACAGCAGCACACACACACAAAGGCTGACATGGCTGGTGACAATTAGTGGGGGGCAATTGGTAGGTAACAAGTGGTTGATGACACTTGGTGAATGAGAATTGGCTGGTGATGACATTTAGTTGGTGACAATTAGTTGGCGGCAATTGGTTGGTGACAATTTGTTGTTGATGACAATTGGTTGGTGACAATCTGTGGGTTGCAAATTGTTGGTAACAATTTGTTGGTGGCAATTGGTTGATGACAACTAGTTGATGACAACTGGTTGGTGACAAGTGGTCGGAGGAAATTTGTTGTTGACAATTGGTTGGTACCAATTATGGTGGCAATTGGTTGGTGACAATTAGGCGGTGACAATTAGGTTGGTAGCAATTGGTGGGGGGGGAGGAGGCGGAGGAGGAGGAGGCGTTAGCGGAGGCCGGGATGCAACACAAAAAAACAAAACCCCCACTCGTCAATGTGGGGAATAGATTGTTGCATATGGCTGTGGGGGTCCCAGACACTAAAGCCACAATACACCCTGGACCTAGAGCAAAGTGAACTCTTATATACTGTTTTCAATGTTTATGATGCAGCAGCCGTGAACGCATGGCCTTGTTGAGGAGACAACTGGACAGCGCGCATCTTCTCCATTCCGGTGGCTGTAAACAAAGCCGCCGGGCCTTCTGATGCGCCTGCTGGGCATGAGCCGGGGCGAAGCGGCTTTGGGTTGATTCTGCCCTCAAACTTTTGAAGATTAACCCGGGAAAGGAATTAGTAGTTCATTAAAAGGTGGGCTAAGTGTATGATTGAATCCTTTGTGGCGCACAAGGCATCGTATGTGGCATCCAGGCGCAACAGACATTTGGCACCGTGGAGGGGCCGCCCGACGTATATGTCAACGTGGATGACTGCATAGCGCAACTCGTCAATTTGCTTCAGCAAGTTTTCATTTCAAGATTCTCAACTGTATGTCGCGCTTGGTTGTTGACTTTGCTTGCTGATATTACTGCAACTGACATTGATGACCTTCTGAGGCTGGGTGCAGCAGCATGCCCAGAGAAGCTCTGCCACTGATGCGAACTTCAGTGCCTCGATCTCCCTGTGGGGCTTGGTGCGATCTGCACGGCTGGAGATGCCACGGGTGGTCAAATTAGAGTGGAGTCTCATCGGAGGTGTTCCGGGACCAGGACATAAACAGTTTCATGTACATTACAGAAGCTATGAGTTAACATTGGATTAGACAAGGCGAGCAAGTCAAAAGCAATAAGGGACCATGGACCATGTCCTCACATGATGAGAAAACCACGTTGATGCCGCCAAAAGGACATAATTACTATATATAATGTTTCTTCATGACTGGTGTTTGGAACACAATCGATGCCTGTATCACTTGCGCTTGGGGCAGAAACAGAAAGGCAGAAAAGTGCAATGCTTCGAATAAATTCTTCCTCGCTCTTCCTTGTCAATGAAACGAGGAAAAGCGCCTCCTTGCGTGGACTGCGAAGCAGCGACCAATTGAACATCCAACTTTGATTTTGCGCACACTGCATTGAAATATAGCACTTTGAAATATTTCGAGGGTTGCATCAATAGGCACTCATGCAATTGAACTTTCCTTGCCAGGACTGCTGACTCTTTGAGTTTGTCTGCTGCTCAGCCGTGCCTTACTTTGAAAATTGTGCGCGGTTTTGATTGTTCTTTCCTGGTGCGTGAGCCATTTGATGTTGAATTAGCTAGGGCCCTGGCAGCCAGGGCCCATGCTTTCTAAATGTCACATTGACAACTGGATCGGGGAGGATTTGAACCACCAAGCTTTGGCTTCAATACATAGAACAGGTTGCTATGTCTGGGGGTCCTGGTGGAACCACACCTATCAGGAAATTGATGAGACCCTGTCACTTCTTCCAAGACAATTGACAGCACTTTGTTTGCGTGTTTTCATGTTTCACTTTGAACCGATTCAGCCGATAGGTTTGCAAGCTCTCAGACTCTTGGCTCTCACAGTTGTTGACATGACTGTTGGCATTCCACATGTTTTTAGAAAGCATAATGTCTTGAGTTCCTGACGCAAAAGTTTTGATGACTCCTGCATAGCACTTGCAGCAAGCAGGAAAACAACATCAACCAAAACAGCAACCAATGACGTTCACTGACTCTCACACAGCAGTCCTTTGCACCTTAATATGTGGGCCCCGGTGGCCAGGGCCCACCCAAGTTGTAGACATCTTGAACTATGTGATCCTTGTGCTTCAGTGGCTGATATTTGGGCACTCTTCAAGCTCTGTATTCACTAGCAAGGGTTTGGTAGTGGAATTGAATGCTGTCCTGTCCCCCCTTGCCACCATGAATATACTTAATATCAACATATTGCATTCAGCCAAGTGTGGCTCTTCAACTTAGTTTGCATATTGGTTTGGGCTCCCCACAAAAAATGAAACATGTTGAACTCAAGTTGATGGAGTGATTAAAGGCGGTTCTTGCGCACCACATCCTGCTCATGTAGCAGGTGCCTTAATTACTCCAGCAGCACATGCAAACACCAACATCATATGAACATACTATATATATATATATATACCATGACAGTGGCTTACCACCACGTACTAATAGATGGCCGTGAATAATACTAAAAAAACAATTAATAAATTGCCACCAAATAATACTAAAGTTGTTCTGGACCCTGATTTTCCGTTGCTTCCAGACCTTGATTCATCCAAGCTGATTCTGAGCTTTCAGCTGATTCCCAAATCTGATTATTTGGTGGTTTCCTTTACAAATCCTTTATATTTCCTGTTGGCTTTATTGAAGGCAATCCTTTCTGAATTTCTGATTTGGCTGCTGCATTTTCCTTTCAACATGGCTTATTTGGGCATTGCCATTTGTAACCTGAAATCAACACGCAAAAACCACCCCCCACGAGCAGCCCAAACCTTCAATTACTCCAGACCTCAAATAATACTAAACAATGCCTGGCTGGTTCTTTTCGTGGTTTCCTTTACAATTCCTTTAGGCTTCCTTTTGGTTGAGTAGCTTTAGCTTTTTTGAGGGTCATGATTATTTAAAGGCTTACGCCTGACAGCCGGGCTCTGACCATCTTGGGGCTATGTTGGCCCATCCTGGGCCTATGTTGGGCATATGGGCCTATGTTGGCCTATCTTGGGCCCACGTTGGCGCAGCTACTATGTTGGACCATCTTGGACCCATCTTGAGCCTTTCTTGGGCCTATGTTGGCATATCTTGGGCCCACGTTGAGCCTATGTTGGCCCATCTTGGGGCTATGTTGGCCCACCTTGGGGTACATTTTGTGCAATTTATGTTGACACGGGCCCATCACCCAAAAATAGATTATGCACCCGCGCGGCGCGCATTACCGACACCACTCTTGGAAACCACCCACCATTTTAGCACATTTCTCCATCTTCGACGCGTTGCATCTTCCACGCGCACAAAACCCTGTCAAACACACTGGTTTTTGCACCTCACGCACACAAAGCACCGTAAATTACACATCTGAGGTGGGTCGGCGGTTGGGGGCGCCGCCGAACCGAAGGCCCTCCGGGCGACACACGGACGCCGGCGACCGGATTTGGGTTCAGCCCCTTTACCATTCCTTCATTTGATTGCTTTCATTTCTTTTCCTTTCCTTTCATTTTACTTTCATTTCCTTTCCTCTCCTTTGTTCCCTTTTCTCTCCTTTCATGTCCAAATCAAATCAATATTTTCTAGGATTTTTCTTGCTTTCGCATTATTTAGGGCCCGCACTTGATCAATGGGGGAGGAGGGGTTATTAATAGGAGCTGGACATTAAACACTTGGAAGCAGAAAACTGCCCTATTTGTAGAGCAACACGGTCTTCTTATAAGGGCCTATGTTCCACTTCAATGCGGCGTGTTCGTCAGAGTGTACTCTCGTTAGCCGGCGGACGAGGATGAAGTAACGGATGACCCGCTGCTACAGGTGATTGGTGCTTGGTTCAAAGATGTTTAAAGTATAGTCAGTATAGTATGATCTTGTGACCCTGCTTCTGGTGCCAAGTATCAACTCTGGAAATTGCAAATAAACTCTGATCAACAAGTTGCACGATTCGGAATCGTCACTGAGAGAGTTGGACATTTGGCATGAAATTAAAAAATATCAAGCGAAAAGCAATCATCTACAATCTAGCCGTTCCAATCTTCCACACCTGCCCGCTGCCCGCTGCCCCCACCTTGTGCGCGGTCAGCACGCGTTGGACGAGTCCACCTTCCAAATCCCAAACCTGCAGATTCCCACGCTCGTCGCCAGTGACCACCGACGCATCATCCACCAGCGACATGCACCTGGCACCGGGCGCGCACGATTCAATGGCGGTGCCAAACAAACGAGACGCGTCGTCCGATCCAAGACTGCCCACCTATGTCGCATTTCTCTGTTGGGCAATTGTTTTTCTGTATTTATCAATTATTAAGTACTGTACCAGTATCTATTAAGTTATTTGGTTCGTGGGAGACCTGAATGCGTGGGATCAAAGCTGTTGCGACTCCATGTTTCTGAAACTCCATGGGGATCCATGCATGTGATCATGGCCCTACTAGGTCCCCCTACTTTGCGAATGTCACACAAGTACTTGTCATTTAGGACATTGTCGGTGTCATCCTCGTCACGATTTTGACCAGAAAGACCAAAACCATGCCAATGTATGAAGCCTATCTTGGGTCAACTGTAATGCACCTGGCAAGTATCTATTTTTTAGTTACACTTACCTGACCTTTTAAAGTGTTTATATGGAAAATGTGCATGCGCCATCGACTTCGCAGCTGACAACAGGCCTTATCCTAGAAAATCAAGGAGTCATCCTATGGACCCTGCTGAGAAGGAAGTCATATTATGATAGCAAGGCGCAACCAACTCCTAAATATCCTCAGGTGTCCCTTTTCCAACCCTGTTCCCCTCTGAAGATTCCTGCCACTTCATAATAGGGTCCCCCACATGTTGATAGGGAGACCCCCAAGCAATGATTCCCTGCCACTTCATAATATGGTCCCCACATGTTTATAGGGAGACCCCCAAGCAATGATTCCCCAAACAGTGTGGAGTGTGGACACACTAGGGGTTCTTGCGGTACTAGAAAAGCAGCTGATGCATAGGTCGAATTCGCTGCTATTTACAGTACATTCATGCCTCTCGACATCGTCAATGTGCATTTCGACTGCGCAGGCTCGCAGAATCTGCGTGGGCACGGCGGGCGCTTCTAACGGCTGCGCTCTTGTTGTGGTGCCGTGCGCAGTTTCGCACATGGTGATCACTTTTCGTGGCAGGCGCAAGGGAAACCTCATGTTTTGGTGCTCCCAAGTCGACTTTTCGTGGCAGGTGCAAGGGATCGGAGCTGTTCTACTTCGATATGCAGTTGTCGTGGCAGGCGCAGCACTTTGGACATGGTGGTGGATTTCGTGACAGGCGCAGTGAATCGTGACTTTTGGATCGTTTGCAGATTTCGTGGCAGGCACAGCAGTCTGTGACCCTCGATGTGCAGATTTCGTGGCAGGCGCAGCACTCGGTGAACCTTGGACGTGCAGATTTCGTGGCAGGCAACATATGTTTGTTTCTGGAGCAAGAATTCAACCGATTGAAGGACAGTGTGCATCGTTTACCGATCTCCAGTTGCAGGAAGTTGATCAGATCATGATCATCATGAGGTGTTTGCCACAGGAAATACACAGGCATCTTGCCTTCCATGGCAAATCAACCACAATGAAGGAATTGTTAGAGTCTCCGTCATTTTACGAAAGACAGTCGCGAGCATTAGAGTTTGCACGCGGTAGCCAGAAAGGAAACCCAGTTGGATATGACAAACCACCTAAGGGTGCAGGCAAGGACACAAAGTGTCGTCGATGTGGGAAGCCAGGTCATTTCGAGGAGGATTGTTGGGCAAAGTCACCCAAGCGTACCGACCAGGACAAAGGGAAAGGCAAGGACAAAGCAAAAGGAAAGGAGAAAGGCAAAGGAAAGCCACAATCCCCACACCGCGATGGTAAGGGGAACAGCACTTTGTGAACCTCGAAGTGCAGATTTCGTGACAGGCGCAGCACTTTGTGAACCTCGAATTGCAGATTTCGTGGCAAGCACAAGGACTTGGTGAACCTCGAATGGCAGATTTCGTGGCAGGTAGAGGACTTGCATGGTGAACCTCGAAGTGGAGATTTCGGGGAAGGTACAGCACTTGGTGAACCTCGAAGTGCAGCTCACTCTCTCTCTCTCTCACTCTCACTCTCTCTCACTCACTCACTCACGCTCACACTCACACTCACTCTTCACTCATACTCACACTCACACTCACTCACACTCACACTCACTCACACTCACAGTCACAATCACACTCACTCTCACTCACTCACACACGCTCACACTCACCCTCACACTCACTCTTCACTCACACACACATTCACACTCACTCACACTCACATTCACAATCACACTCACTCTCACTCGCACTCACTCTCCCACCCTCACTCTCACTCACACTCACTCTCACTCACACTCACATTCCAATCACACTCCCTCACACTCACACTCACTCTCCCACCCTCACTCACACTCACTCTCACTCACACTCACTCTGCCACTCTCACTCACACTCCCTCACACTCTCACTCTCACTCACACTCACTCTCATCCACACTCACTCTCACTCACACTCACTCTCACACTCACTCACACACTCACTCACGCTCACACTCACACTCACACTCACTCTCCCACACTCACTCACTCTCACTCTCACTCTCACTCTCACTCACACTCACACTCACTCACTCACCACCACCGTCACCACGATCCCCACCTTCATCACCACCATCACCTCTCTGGACCCCAATGCGTCTAGATCTCTAGACTTTCTGCTTATAGACCTCACACAGACTGTTTGGGGTCTCTTGCCGGGATATGTTTTTAAAAGTCTATGTCCCTTCTTCCCAGAGGGTTCCTGAGAGGTCGGAACCCCAAATTTTCATACACCCCATATAATACCCATATAATGATGAACAGAAAACGAACAACGCCGCCACCGCCGACCTCCGTCTGACCACCTCGCCTGATCTCGCCGCTTAGCACCGGAAAGGTCTTCAACAGCTCGCCCGAGCGCAGGTCCCAGCGCCGCAAGGTGCAATCCTCGGTGGCCGATTTCGGCTTCTGCGCCGGCGCCGTGGCCGGTGGGCCGGCTGCGGTCTGGCGCCATATGACATACCTACCTCTTGAGTCTGAGGTACTCATGAAATCATTGATCCATTCTAGCTCCAAACCAAACGAAAGGATGCTAACACTGACCCGTCCAAGCTGGGGGGGCCTTTTTCTGCCTGAAACTGCAGATCTTTGAAGGCCGATAATTTGGCCCACCCTTGGTTGAACCAGCAGTTCGGCACCCACACCACAGCCTCCACATGCTGTTCCAGGCATCCATGGCCGCCGACAAAATGAGGCCCTGCGCCCAGTCCACGTGGATAGCAGTCACCATCTGAGTATGGCCGCGCAAAATCTGCAAACGCTGGGGCGCAGTCGTGTCCTCCTCGCCCTTGCTGGCCATGTCCCACCTACAGCCAGGCCGGCCGAGTTCGTTCGAGCTCGACCAAAACTGCGACATGCAGCTCGATGGAGAGACATCTGTCGCGCTTGGAGCGAAAAACAAACAACATGGAATTAGCGGGATAGTCTGGCCCAACGAAGGAAAACAAAGGCAAGGGTTTTGCAACCCTACCGACTGCCATAAGTAAGCATATAGCTGGTCACAAAACAAAATTCCGTTTGGTTTCCAGGAAGAAGTTGACAGGGACGATCAACAGAATCCTTCCAACACAAGTCTTGGAAATTCCAAACTGGTCTGCAATAAGACGTCTTTCAACACCAAACAAACATTTTCCACCAAAAAGATGCACAGTGAATTCAAATAATTAACCATTCTATATATAATCGTATAATATAATATATGGAACCTATATGAACCTATTATGATTAAACTTTTGCCTACTATAGGTTTTTTAGTGCATATTAGTGCTATAGCTGGAAAAACACTGGTATCATTCATTATGATCTCACCGCGCTCAACTCCAACGTCCGCTTTCTGCAGCTCGCCACACTTCCAACAGCTCGCCACAGCCGCAAATGGCGCTGTGCATCTTCCAGTTCACCGCCAGGGCACCGATACCTCCTGGACCTTGGGCAGCGTGTGGCTGCTGCGGCGGAAAGAGCTGGAGAGGTGGGAACCCGGCTTCAGAAAGCGTGCCGATGGTTTTCTTTCTTTTTGGGGGAGCGGTGAAAAGGGACTGAAGGGAGCTAGGTGCTGAAAGGAGGAAGAAAAAGGGTTCAGAATGGTCGAGAATCAGACTGGATGGTGCTCCGAACGATAGACCTTGCGCCCAATGTTTACACATGTTTACACTGTGGTGTTTGGTGTTGCCACCATTTTGAGACCTCACTTTCGCTCAACATATCTCCTAATAGTCCATGAGGTTAGCCCACCCAGCTCTTCAGCACCCACACCGATCCGTGGCTTTCGGACTCTGCCCCGCTGGGCCGGTGTCTCGGAGCCAGACCGAGCGTTGGGGACGAAGACCAATGTGTTTGTGGATGGAGACAGACAAAAGCTCCTCAATGTCAGCAAGTACCCACTCAAGTACCCGCAGTTCCATGGAAGAAGAGCGATTTTGTTTTGATAGAAACTGGTTAACACCCGACTTGAAGAACATGGTAAGTGGGTTCAATATGGTTCAATCCCAAGATATCCCAAGTAAGGGTGTTGAACATACCACCCTGCAAAGTTCCTATTAAATCATCAGCAGCTGGTGAGCACACCAGCTGGGCGACACTTGGCACATCCCAAGAAATCATCCAGAATGCTGTGTATTTGTATGCCCTCAATGTAGAAAGGCATGGAACATGTCCAAAACCTTGTCATCTTGATCATCTTGGGCGGGGCCAAAACCGGGGGGGAGCCTTTTCACTCTTTGAATGAACAGAAATAGACTACCGGCTTGGAGGTCACCACGGCTTGGAGCGGTTTTGACCCACCGTTCCCCATCTCCTTCTGCGGCTCGGACCGATGGCTTTCGGCTAAGCGACAGGAGCCCTCGACACTCCGAAAGGGACTGGAGCTATCCAATCTCCACAACCTGCAAGGCTTTGGTTGATCGAAAGGGAGTGAGAAGGCCACACTGAATTCAAGTCTATATAGACAGCATAAAGCAGAAGATGTGAACGGTATTGACTTGTGATGGAAGAGTATAGATGTAGTCTAGAGTAGGAGTGTGTAAGCATAGTATAGTTTGTAAGGGGCTTGTAACCCCCCAAATGGTGCGAGTTCGGATGGATGTGGACATTGAGCTCTCCGTTCTCCGGACCGCTCATCGACGCGGTCCACATCCCGCGCTCCAGGCTGGAGAACAAAGATCCCTGAAACACCGGAGACCGGGTAACACCTTTTGGTTGCACCCACCGGTTCCTGTCGAGTGGGAAAACCCGATTGGCCCGGAGATTCCCCGAAGAGATGACCAGTTGCCGTTCGTCGGGTCTACGAAAGCACGATGGGTTGCCAGCATCTCCGGTGTCACGAGCAAAGTTGGTGCGCGTTGCCAACGTTGGGAGAAAAAAAAGAGGCATGGCCAATGGCCGCATGGCCTCAACACTCAGCTACACCCTCCAGTGTTGGAGAACAATTATGCCCCACCATGGAGAATTCATCACATGTTTCCCATTGCGAACTCCTAGGAGCAAGGACGCTTTGTAATAGGGGCTCCTGGCATTGCGAACTCCTGGCATTGGTGTAGGTCATCGGTCACCAAAAATTAAAACAAAAATTCGCTTGCTATCGCTGGTTCCCTACTGACGACCCTGCTCATTCTACTACCTAGGTCGGCCGTTCTCATTTGAAGCATACCCATATGCATACCCATGTGGCTATAAAGAAGAAAACACACCCAGTGGACCACCCTCTTTCGTGAACAGAGTCCAGTCTTCCCAGTCATATGGCTGCGGGTTCGCGCCCGGAGCCGCACTGCAAGCAGGTTGACCGGGCTCGGTGGTGCCATGACCCACCCCTCTCGTCGCGTCCACGGATTCATCCAGGTCACTTGAGATCTGAACCCAGGCTACCACTGAGCATCCTGACAAGGCGTGAAAAAACAATGAAGGATGGCAAAAAGAAGACCATTAACATGAATCCATGAGGCCAAATGGAATCAGGATTCCTGCCCTCAAGACTCTGGGGGTCTTTGGTACAGGGCTTTGGCCAGCAAGCAGTCTTTGAGGCAAAGGTCCTAACAAGCGTATTCGATAGCAGCTGTTGGTCAGCTTTGGTTGACCAACCACAGCCTTCGGATCTGAAGCTGAAGTGCTAGATTTTGGTCACACCCCCAGTCTCTCTCTCACAAAAAGCACTAATGTGGCACATACTTCTCTCCATCCAACTGTGTCTTACCAAAGGAGAAACATGTTACAGTTCAAGAAGAAAGGCGCCTATAGCTTAGCAATCCAACATAGAATCACAGAATCCCGAATTGCCAGTCTGCAAACGTTCATGCTGTGTCCCAATTCCCGACCAATCTGCGGCATGGACCCCATGTGGCGAAACCACCCAGGACCATCTCCTGTGACTCTTCCAATCCACCTCTACACACCTCGGTTCCGCGTGGGAGGGCGTGGGAGGGCGTTTGGCGTTCCGATATTCTTTGGTCCGGAAACGGGGAAACGGGCCCAACCCACCAAACAACGGGCGGAAATGCCAAATTGGCACTGAATGGCCACGATGCGTCGAGATGCCGATGTCTCCGCCGTTTTCAGGGCCAAACAATCGAAGCAGCGGTACTCCAAGGGTTCGATCGCATTTTGTTGGGGTGGGCACAGTGTGTCCTTCCAACTCAAACTCCTGTATATAGTGGCTCCATTAAATCCCAGGCTGCCTTCAAGGTCTCCTTGTTCTGAGATAAATCTGCATTGCAGATGCCATTCCGAATTGCAGAATGCACTTCTTTCACCACGAGGCCCTAAGACGGATGAGCGTGCGGCTTGGCCGACGCGGAACAGCTGACGAAGGACACAAAAGGTGCACACAAAAGCACACTAAGCACTGCTAGAAATGATGAAATCCAAATAATTCAAGTGCTGCAGGCTCGAAGGAAAAGTGACACCTTCCAGGCTTTGATCGAAAGAGTCACCAAACGTCAAAGTCCGCAGACTGCTTGGCAAGGTGACACCTTCTAAACTCTGGTTGAAGAAATTGCCGAAGCTCAAAGTCTGCAGGCTGCTTGGCAAGGTGACACCTTCCAAGCTCTGGTCGAACATGTCGCCGAAGGTCAAAGTCTGCAGGCTGCTTGGCAAGGTGACACCTTCCAAGCTCTGGTTGAAGGAAAAGCCGAAGGTCAAAGTCTGCAGACTGCTTGGCAAGGTGACACCTTCCAAGCTCTGGTTAAAGTAGGCGCCGAAGGTCAAAGTCTGCAAGCTGCTTGGCAAGGTGACATCTTCCAAGCTCTTGTCAAACTCCTCGCTGAAGGTCAAAGTCTGCAGGCTGCTTGGCAAAGTGACACCTTCCAGGCTGTGGTTAAAGTCCTGGCTGAAGGTCAAATCCTGCAGGCTGCTTGGCAAAGTAACGCCCTGCAAGCTCTGGTTGAATTTCTCACCAAAGGTCAAGACCTGCAAGTTGCTTGGCAAGGTGATGCCTTCCAAGCTCTGGTTGAAAGCAAAGCCGAAGGTCAAGGTCTGCAGGCTGCTTGGTAAGGTGACACCTTCCAAGCTCTGGTTAAAGTTCTCGCCAAAGGTCAAAGTCTGTAGGCTCCTTGGTACAAAGACATCGTGCAAGCTTTGGTCAAAACAGTTGTCGAAGGCCAAACTCTGCAGGCCTTTTGGCAGAGTGACACCTTCCAAGCTCCGGTTGAAACAGTAGCCGAAGGTCAAAGTCTGAAGGCTGCTTGGCAAGGTGACGCCATTCAAGCTCTGGTTAAAGAAACGGCCGAAGGTCAAAGTCTGAAGGTTGCTTGGTAAAGTGACACCTTCCAAGCCTTGGTCGAAACAGTCGCCAAAGGTCAAAGCTCGCAGGCTGCTTGGAAAGGTAAGTCCTTCCAAGCTTTGGTTGAAACTGTGGCCGAAGATCAAAATCTCCAGCCTACTAGAAAAGATGACACGGTCCAAGCTTTGGTCAAAACAGGCGCCGAAGGTCAAAGTTTGCAGGCTCTTTGGAAAAGTGACACCTTCCAAGCTCTGGTCGAAACAGTGGCCGAAGGTCAAAGTCTGAAGGCTGTTTGGCAAGGTCACACCAGTCAAGCACTGATTAAAGTCCTGGCCGAAGGACAAATTAAGTAGGCTGCTTGGCATTGTGACACTTTCCAAGCTCTGGTTGAACTTGTAGCCAAAGGTCAAAGTTTGCAAGCTGGTTGGCAAGGCGTCACCTTCCAAGCTCTGGTCAAAAGCGTAGCCGAAGGTCAATGTCTGCAAACTGCTAGGCAAGATGATACCTTCCAAACCCTGGTTGAACGTGTCGCCGAAGGTCAAAGTTTGCAGGCTGCTTGGCAAGGTGACACCTTCCAAGCTCTGGTTAAAGTGTGCGCCGAAGGTCAAAGTCTGCAGGCTGCTTGGCAAGGTGATGCCCTGCAAGCTCTGGTTGAATTTCTCACCAAAGGTCAAGACCTGCAAGTTGCTTGGCAAGGTGACACCTTCCAAGCTCTGGTTAAAGTCCTTGCCAAAGGTCAAAGTCTGAATGCTGCCTGGCAAGGTGACACCTTCCAAGCTCTGGTCAAAGTCCCCGCCAAAGGTCAAAGTCTGTAGGCTGCTTGGCAAAGTGACACCCTTCAAGCTTTGGTTAAAGCCACTAAACTCAACGAAGATCAAAGTCTTCAGGCTGCTTGGCAAGGCAACACCTTTCAAGCTCTGGTTGAAACGGGTGCCGAGGGTTAAAGTCTGCAGACTAGTTGAAAAGGTGAAACCTTCCAAGCTCAGGTCGAATATGTCAGACAAGATCAACGAGACAATCCCATCAATGGCTGTCGCATTGCCTTCCAAGGCTCGCTGCAGACTCAATGCTGCTTCTCCAGCAGACACTTTCCTGGCCACGAATGTCACCTCTTCGCCAATCAGTTGCTGTAGCAGTGGCTGGGAATGGTCGAGGACCTGACCACCAGAAGTCAGCACCAGCCTTCGCCCGGAACTTGTCGCGCCACTTTTCTCTGCAATGATTCTTGATAGATCATCCACCTTGGATGAGCTTGAAAGGTAATGATCGAATGACACCACAGTGTATTGTTATCAAAGGGCCGTCCATTACACTGCCAAATGGATAGAATGGGCATCACCCTTATTTTTGCATTCCGCCGAACTGCGAACAATACATGATTCAACAACTCCAGGCCACGGTGGGAGCATCCTCAACTGAAAGGTGAAACGTTGAGCCATCCATGCCATGGATGCTCAATTTGCGTCTGGTCGTCTTGCCTTCAGCAATCTCCGCTGATGGTTGCGCTGTTTCTGCATCTTTTCTCGGTCTCTCAGCACACCTTGCTTCTGCCACTGGCCTCGGTGTTTGAACTTCCAACATTTCACCTACCCCCTGACGAACTGCCCCGTGAAGGATATAAGTTCCTTCGTAGAGACTTGGATGAAAGCATTGGGCGCTTCGTGCACGCTTTTTGGATTCAGCATGCCCTCCATCCAATGCACGCTTGGCCCTCTGAAGAACATGTGTGAGATCCGGCATGTTCTTCAAATCATTGTCTCATGAAACAGGCTGAACATCTTGTCTTCTCAAGATCTGATAGATTTATCATGAACTACGAGCGGCATGGCCGCTTCTCACCAAATGGTCAAGGCGCAAGCCCATGCTTCCATCACCTTTGGATTGCTCTCTGGTCCAAATCCACCAAGCCACATGAGCCGCTCCGCCTGGCGCAGCAGCCGTTGGGCACTTTTCACATCTTGGCAAAGCACGCTCAGCAGCGCCTCGTCGTCGGCCTCTGCGAACAAGGCGGCCGCATTGACACTTGCACTCGAGGCACCGGTGCCCATGGCGAGGCTGTAGGTGCACAACAGGGCATGGGGTGGAACAAACAAATATGATTCATCAAACAAACATTTCCCTTTTTATGAATTCAAACATGATCAACCATGTCACAAATGGGTGGATGAATCTCACATCTGCAGAGTTTTCTGACATCTCCTGACTTGTTTTTCTAACTTCTCCGATGCCTCTATTGACCGACCAAATACTACAAAACAAGGAAATGATACTCATGTTGGATTAGGGCAAGACTCTCGTGAAAGCAAAAAACAGGCCGAATGTCCCGTACTTCGACCATCAACATGAGCATCGGCCACATGGCGCCAGGCCAGTTGCGACGAAATGCTCACCTTCGCAGCTGAGCTGGATGGAATGCCCAGCAAGCTGCATCAAAGATGTTGTAGGGACCGAAGATACCGATTCTGTAGACGTCAAGTGGTTGTAGACGTGATTTTGCTGGGGATCAGTGCATAAAGTCAGCATCTTGGCCTCTTCTCACCTGCTTGTGCAGGTGGGACGGGGCGCAATCCAACCAGAGACGGGGCGTTGCAAACGGAACGCGTTGTCAGCTGTGCACAGTCGTCACTGCTTCCACTTGTTGGGCAAATCCACACGGTAACTCGCAAAAAATGACAGACTTACAACTGACTGATCATGCTGGTGGTGTAATGATGTGCGTCCTTAGCACCTTGAGCATTTTCTAGGCACATTGACAACTTGACCAGACGAGTCCAAATGCCTTCTACATGCCTCAGCTTGCTTGGGGACCTCGCCGACCTTTCTTCCGGGATGGAAAACACTGGTCACGTCGTGTCTGCTGGAACCGAACCCGCATTGCCACACTGGTCGAAGCGGTGTTCGTCGTGGTTCTGCACAACTCTTCACGAAAACCGAAGATAGATGATGATGCCTCAAGGGGTTGATTCGAACCCTAAACCCACCCCTTGATTCGATGATGCCCCGATCAAATCCCTTAGTTTTCCTCCCCGATCAAAGACCAAGTCTTCGCCGAGGTACAGCACTTCACTGCAATGCCCCGTGAAGGTCCTACGCGGATCTTCCAACGTTTCAATGAAGTTGCGCCAAACGTTTTTCTCCCATATGGGCCATATTAGGGCTGGGGTGTGTCTCTGTTTTTCAAACAGGGTAACCCCCCTGGAGCCCCATAGGTGTCTATGTCCGGTCGTTGCGGTTGGGGTATCGTAGTTACAGTTACTTTTCAACCATGCGGAAGATCAATTCTAGAGAAATACGTCCACACAGCTCGGGCACGAGAAATCGCCCCACCGCTCAGAAACGAAACAAACCATCCCAAACGCCCAGCCCAGCCAGCCCTTCCCAGCGAGTTTCTGGGATGCTCCTGAGCACATTTCCATAGAAGTTCCACAGTTTCAGCGTGTGGTCCGCTGAGCCTGTGACCACGTTCCTGCCGTGACCGAAGCGTCAATGGCTTTGTCACCGAAGCTGACGCGTTGGAAGAGCCGTCCCTGCTGGTAGCTGGATTTTGAGTTCATGGCCAAACCCCCATCAGCAAATGCACTTCTTTCATCCTCTTTCCAGTTTCGTGTGGATTTCACATCCTCACATCCTCACATCTGTCGGGCAACGCTTCCCATGTTGGCCCAAACAAATCCCTGAACCATCAACTGCAACAGCAGAATAACCGATCTGCATACGTTGGAGGACGTGAACTCCAATAGAAACGGACACTCCATGCTCCATGTCTGAGAAAATTATTGACATGTTTATCTACATTAGGCTGGTTTCAGGTTTTGATTTTAGATATATATTCAATGGATGGGGTGTTGTGGGACATGGATTTCTTGATTATTTCTGATCTTTGTGAGGCCCATGGCTCTCACACCGCTCCCAGATGCGGTAGCATGTGTCCAAGAGTGAGAAGTGGACACATGGCACTGCGCACATGTGCCGCAGTTTTTGTGCCTATACGGTGCCATGTTTTAGTGCCAAATTGGCATCCGCGATCTTTAAGCCGCTCAAACCAGAAGTGGAACGCCCTCAATTGGAAGGAACGATCTGAGGCGAACGAAGGCGATCCTTTACACACACGCCTCGAAAGAATCTGGGCCCAGTTGGACCCCAAAGACAACGTCGACCAAGACCATCCAACACCATCCAACACCTATATTGATTGGGGTTCTCCCTATTCTACGAGAAATACGCACGCATCTGCTTTCGGGTCCCGGCTGACCTTCCTTTGCAACCACCCATCCTGCCTGAGTTGACTGTTCAAATACTGACATATACCTGACTCCCTGGCCAACCAACCCTAAAAAGAAAAGCTTTGGTTTTTTTTTTTCCACTTGTTCTACCGCCCCAGGGGAAAACTCATCGCCACAAAAGGTCAAAGGTTGCCCGATGACTTGGGTAGGATTCTGACATGGAGAAACCTCTGTGGCCTCTGTGCCAAAAACATGTGAGTGTTGGACACCTTCCCAAGATTCCTTCCAAGAACCCTACACTGGGCTTGCGAGTAGACGTCCTTGAGCCCCAGTCCACTGAAAAGCAGTTGAGGTTGAGCTTGTGTGGATCCTGGCGCTGAAGTCTGGACTTCAGGAAAGAGGGACACACAAGGGAAACCCTCCCGCCCAAGAAAGCCTGCTCATTTCAATGTGCCAATATCGAAAAAAAGATACTCCCAAAAAGATCTGGCCATGTGAATCTCACGAGCCAAATCCAAACTTCCCGAAGTGGGCCCCCCAAATACACGCCAATCCAACGACCAGCAAGGAAAAAGATACACATACTTGCCCCAACCTTCCATTTTGCTTGCTTCATCGCATTGAAGAAGACACACTTCGAGGGAAATAGCTGTTCGCCCCGTTCGCACTAGAGTTGAAAGGTGTCAAGGTGTCGACCACTCGAGACAGACCACCTCCCTTCGCACCTTGAGTTTTTCCAAGAGCTTGATGTCCTGACCGGTCGCCCCACGGCACGGCACCAGGCACCAAGGACCGTCGCCATCACGGTCCAACGTCTTCCGATGGTTTCAGTGGTTGGTTTCACGGCAGTGGCTTGGGTGGCGTAAAGGATACTTAAGCAGATCCAAATCCACCCAGTCACCACCCAGTGTATAGATGCCAGTGTCTTATCGCGGGGGTGGCAACATCCATTTGACCCAGAATATGTATATCAGCCAGGACCATTGAGAGGCAATCTCTATATATATAGATAGTCCATGCATGGGTCAGCTCTTATAGATAAATCTGTCTCCATTCCCTGTTTCGCTTGGGATACCCGGTTACCCATGTTGTTTTTCAATACCATGCAATACCCCTATCACAAACCAAGAGGAAATCCACATCTGTGAAACACCAAAGTATCCTTCGTTCAGCCCTTGAGGGGAGAAAAAAACACCAATCACCCATTGAAATGTTCATGAAGGGACTGCTGAAAGACCTTGGTTCCATCTGGTTCCGTGGAAACAAGTTCACCCCGCTGTACTTGGCGTAATTTTTGTTCCGTCTGGAACCGTTTTCACTTCCACGTCCCCGTCGCAGGTGACGTCTGCGATTTGGTTCACACTGAGACCCACACATCTTCCACGCTGGTGTATCCTTCGAGACGCGGCGTGGTGGGTGTTTTTCTTAAGATGGGTGGCTGGTGGTCAGCATGCTGGAGGTGCTGGTAGCAATGTAAATTCAGTTTTTTTGTCTCAAAAAATTCCAAACAGTTTGCTGCTAGTTTAATCCTCTGTGCAAAAATTCCTCGTGGCGCCGGTTTTGGGGGGATCGCTTTGTTCCTGACTCATAACCTTTTGATCTGGGCCAAACTTCATCTAAAGGATATTCAATGCTCCTCATCCGTCGTTTATGTGCTTGGGAGCAGTTCCTTTTCATTATGTTGTGGGCCATGATGTAGGGAAACATGTCGCTTAAACCGCGCATTCTTCTCATCTCGGGACAGGTGCCTGGGAGGTCAACGTCGGTGACCATCTATTCATTTGACCCCCACCCATCCTGCCATCTCGACTCACTGTGAAACTAGTTTTCAATGACCGAACTCATGCCGAGGGGCTCTGATTGCTGGGAGTGCGTACACCGATGGCCTCAAGCACATTGCCAGTCTTGTCGAATTGCTTGATCTCGCCTCAGTCTCGCGAAAAGAGACTCAACAACTCATGGAGAGAGAGGGGCGAAAGCAAAACCCATGCACCAACCACAGCCCATGCAAAGCTGTAGCAGGCAAGTACCATTTTGCAGCTAGAACTGATTTTTTGTTGTGAGCTGGGTGAAGCCATCGGTGGGGACTCATGGCGATTGTGATACTCTATCGTTTTGTAGGGCTTCACTCATCAGTCGCCCCACCACTCACCGCAACCCATTGGAGGCTCTCGGCTGTTTCTCAAACAGTGTGACTAAGGGTTCTTGCGGTATAGGTTAGTTTGATTGGAGGTGCATGCTGATCGGCGTTTGCGGCTAAGTGGCTGCTATTTATGGTACATTCATTCATCTCGAGGTCTTCCAAGTGCATTTCGACTGCGCAGGCTCGCAGCATCTGGTGGGCTGGCACAGGTGCTCTTCGAGACTGCGCTCTCGTTGTGGTGCCATGCGCATTTTCGGGTTTGGTGATAATATTTCGTGACATCACCACCATCACCACCACCACCACCTCAACCACCATCATCACCACCTTCACCTGCAACTT